ATTATTGTGCTGGCCAAGCGGCGCGGGCGCGGGCGCGGGCAACCAGCAGCGGCCCATGCGGTAGCTAACGTGCACAAATGCACTCTGTCCCGATGCCCCCCGCCGACTCCCGCCACCCGTCACCCATGAGCCGTCGAACGTCCGCCGGCAGCCGTCACGATTGCCCCTCGATGGCAGTACATTGCCATTTCGCTTGATTACATGCATTTTATATGCGCCGGCCCGAAAGTAGGCTACACTTTTCAATCACAATCAAATTTTATGCCTCACATACAGGTGTGCATGCATGTGTGTACCTGTGTGTGTGTGTAGGCCATGCACTATATGCGATTCGCCCGTAGAAGCTCACAATCAGATTCATTTACATTTCCGCCGCCCAACAACAGCAGCAATAACAACTCGCAACTTCATTTTCATTGTTTTGAAGGTTTAGCTGGCTGCAAGTGTATTCCGAAATGGAATTTTAGATGGCTTTACTATTAAATTGAAAGCCGCAACATTGTAAAATGCGAGCGTGAAATCGAACGAAACTTTTTTTGCGCGCTGTGTAACGAGACCAAAGTTTACCAAACGCTGTATAGAATTTAAGAACTGCAATTTCAAAATGAAAGGCAATTACTAATATATGTTCTAAATAAATCAAATAAAATTGCCTGAAATAATGTTATACAATTTAATGTTGAGTTTATATAAATTTTTGTAGTGATTATTTATTTCCAATTTTTAAATATTTATATATAGTTTACATAATTACTGTTGTCAATATATCCAAATGCTTTATCGTATATGGAAACATCCACACACCATTTGAGTCAGCTGTTTCTTGAATTTAATAACTATATCTCAACTAGATTCTCAAAGTCTGGCTAGGTATGTGCATACTGTAGTAAATAGATAAGTTAGCCTCCACAACAAAATTAGAGTCACTGGTCTAGGGATTCCCTTCCGATATGTTTTGTCTGCTTTCAATATGATATGATATATTACGTACCTTTACAAAAATGTTATATGCAATAGATCTCATGTGCAAGCAGAAACCTAAAACCTATTCAATATTGAATATGATAATTTCATCTTGCAGTATTCGTATTTTATCACAGCATTGCAAGTAAATATCTATTTGACTCATGCTGACAAGGCAAGGCTACAAATGTATTTTTATCAAAATTATGCACATTAAAATTCGGCATTAAATTCAGATTCATAAACGTAGCCGAACATCATTACGTTTTGTCTGCACAAAGAGACTTGGCATGCAAACGAATTGACAGCTTGGTAACCGGGCCTGACATTTCTGATCTGACATTGAGTTGCTTCCCCTGCCGAGGACATTTGATTTTCGTGTGTTGAACATGTCGTAGCTCGTAGTTCGTAGGAGCTGAGCAACTATTTCAGTTCACCTGCGCTGCGGTGGCTGTCGATTGAACAACATTATGAAGCAGCACCGATGGGCGGCAAGCGACTCATTCTAATTTACATAACAGCTCAGTTTGTGTGTGTATGTGTGCGTATGTGTGTGTGAGTTTAGTCAATTCAGCGTTAAGAACCTTTAAAAGTAACAAGCCAGTCGGGAAGGCAGACGGCTGGGGGCTGGTAAGAAGACATTCAGCCGACTACCACAAGCAACTACAATAAAAACTAAATTAGCAGTCCGCACCCAACAGCACACACACACACACACACACACACACACACACACACACAGACACACACTGACAGAAGCTGACTTGGCAGCAATTTCACTTGTTATTCGCTCGAGTTTTATTTCGTCGCTGGCGTATAATTTACATTTTGCTTCGGTTCATGAGGTGCCATAATCATAAATTGACAAGTTGAAATTTGCACATGACTGTAGCACGCCGCCTTCAACCGGCAGCTGTATCTGCATTTTTAATGCATTTTCCGTCAGTCGAGCAGTCGAGCAGCCGAACAGCCGAGCAGCCGAGCTGCCTTACGAGCTGCCCATTAAAGTGTAAAGTGTTTCAGCTGCTGTTTGCAAATTTTGACATGTTTTTAAGTAAGGATGTTTTGTTGTTCTCTGCCGCTGGCGGGCGCCGCTGACTGCAACAAAAACACAAATTGACGCGGCTTGTTTACATGATTGCCGAAATATATGCAGCATGAGGCGGTTTATCGGGAATCGTGGCACGGCAAGTTGATCGAAAAATTTGCGAATGTTTTTCCATTCTCGCAGCAAGTTTCAAGTCGCTTTTCCGGCAGCCAAGCTTATTGAATGGCATGTACTTCATTGGAACGAAACTGTGACACAATTAGCACAGCTGGCGCATAAGCGAGTCGATCTGTATGCAGCATGACCCCATCGGATGTCGGTTAACCAGAGCAGCCGTACGACTATCTGCTAATGAACCAAAAGGCTCAACGTGTCCTGCTCCGCCATAAAAATGCAAATATTTAAACAAGTGCCAAGCCAAACATGACAAAAAGAGATTCGCAAAAGCAACAGCAGGAGTAGCAGGAGTAGCAGGAGTAGGAGGAGTAGCAGGAGCAGTAACAGCAATTGGGAACGTTGGCTGAGGCAACGGCTTAAATAAAAACCACAAAACACAAACAGCGTACGCTATAAAAGCGACTGTGTCCGTCGCTGTGTGCGCTCGTCGGTGTTTGTGTGAAAATTAACACGCAATTGTAGGCTGGACAAAAGTGAGAGAACAGAAATCGAAATAAAAAGGAAAAGGAAAACGAGTTAAGTTGCCAAAAGCTTTAAGCTGCAATCCAAACAAACTGAAACACGCAAAACGATCGATGAAAAGCCGAATCGTTGCGATAACGGAAGCCGGCAGCTGTTTACAATCAGAATCGGAATGAGCCTTGATGTTCGCTAAACAGGACTCTTCTCATCTCGACTCGACTTGTCGTGGCTTGGCTTGCCTTGCCATGCCTTGCCTTGGCTGAGGCGAATTGACTTGACTTGGGTTTTGTCATTGGCTGGCACACTTTAAAGCATTAGTTGGACATTTTTATGGCCATGGTATTAGTCGCTTAAGACGTTGAAGCCAAAAGGATAACAACAACGCGTCGCACTGGCACTAGGACAGCAGACGGCAGTCGACGTGCAACGGGCGACGGCTGACGGACGCCGGACAGCGGACAACGGACTACGGACGGCAGACAGCAACGGGCATATAAAAGCAAAGAGGCTAAGTGACAACTAAACTTAATGGCACTTCAACAGCAACATGGGAAGCAATGGACGCACAAGAGCACAGCCAGACCGGAGCAAACCAGACAGGGCAATAACAACAGCAGCAACAACAAACACAGCAACAACGCGCTGAGCTGGCTGTATCTTCAACTGTAGGTGCGGTGCAAAACTCAACGGACATTAGCCTCATTGAATTGAATGACAAAACAAACGACGAGCGGAAAAGCATGGCAATGGCAAAGGCGAAAGGCAAAGGCAAAGACGATGACAACGACGACGACAACGGCAACGGCAACAGCAACGGCAACAGCAACAACAATGACGAAAGTCGACAATGTTGTGGATAAGGATAAGCAGTGCGCCAACAACAGCAAAAGCCTTGTACAACAACAAGCCGAGGACCCTGACCAATGCGGAGCAGCTACAGCAACAGAGACGAAAATTTTGTATCTAGACAGCATTAAGATAAAGCTAGCAAATGCATACATAAACAACGTCCTTAGAAACTTTAGTGCACGAACTGCCAATACACTCACAGACTTACGCGACCCGCTCGAGCGCACAGATAGCCCCAGGCCATTTCACGTTGCGTATACGCAGCGTTATCATCTACAAATCGAACTTTGATTGTTAACCTCTTGCTGAAGTGGCTGGCTGGCGAGCATTTGCTGTTTGATAGCTGTCCATTAATATATACATCAGTCGGGCTATGGCTGCATTATGCTCTTATAGATATGGATGTTATGGAGGAGGGCTATTCCTTTTCAATTTGATTTATTGACTTAGAAGAATACATATAAAATATAATATTAGTTATATTCTTTTTTTTTTATGCTGATATCTTATATATTTTTTTCTTTTACATAAACATATTTCTTTCTTTATATATACATATATAGATAATTAGTTATTTACGATTTATCTATTTATATGTATATATATATACATATTTATTCAGTAGTGAATCTTGGAATTGAATAAAATATATATTTATGCATGGTATTTTTATTTTAAAGTTTTATTCTTATCCCCTGTTAAGCTGGCTGGAGATTTATAGATCTACGCCTATTATAGCCGTCTCGGGCAGTGCAATTTGAAGTACTCAATTTTTAATATACTCGCATAGCCATTTGCATAATCATGAACACTTTGCGCCGGCAAACTCAATGGCCAAGCTGATGATGCCATTGGCAGCCAGTGCGCAGCGAGACGGCAACAGCCAGGAGACGCTCCAGAAAGAGATGGCCGTAGGTTGACCCAAAATAATGGACACCAATCTTCGCTTTACAGCCCCAGCCGCTCGCCCTGCCCTCAAATGGCCGTTCAAATGTGTGAAAATAGTGGACAATATGTGTGGCAATGCGCGTTCTTGTCTCCCATTTGTGTGTGTGCGTGTGTGTGTGTGTGCAAGTGTGTGCGCTGTGTGTATGGGTGGCTTTGTGAAGGTGCTGTTAACGCCATTTTTTCGTTGGCCTCGATGCTATTTTGCTGTTCATTGTTGTTGTTGCTGTTACCGTTGTTGTTGTTCTTGTTGTTGTTGTTGTACAATTTCCGTATCCGGCGCGTAAATGCTACCGTTGGCCCAACCAACAGCAGCAGCAGCAGCGGCAGCGCGTATTGGTTTATGCATGAGGATTGTGCCACGCCTCGAACGCTTCGAAAGCTTCGAACGCCTCGTACGCTTTGAACACTTCATTTGTCAGACGCTGTGACTTAACGGGAGAGATCCCGGCTTGCATTTAAATGAAATGCCAAGCGATTTGAGGCTACAGCCACGAAACTAAAGAACTAAAGAACTAAAGAGCTACAGAACAGAACTCTCTCAAAATGCACTTACCAAAACTGCATCAATTATTCAACAGCCCATGGCCGGGCCCGGCCTGGTCAGGGATTGAGCCAAGTCGCCAAGTCGCAACGAGTTGAGCAGTTGAGCGCTTCGAGCTTGATGCATGCCTGCAAAGTACACAAAAGCCAGAAGATGGGGGTTAACAGGGTGGAGATATGCGGCATAAATATTAAATGCAAAATAGCGAAAAGCTGAGAAATCTGCAGCCAGCAGTTGCTGCAGTTGCAGCACTTGCAGCACTTGCTGCATTTGCGGCTTGAGCTGCCCAAAACAAAAAATGAAAAATGAAAAAAAAAAAACGAAGTGGGATACAAAGGATTCTCGAGCGCGAATTCTTAAAGTAAGTAAATTCACAAAAATTATGCACTATTGTTCTTCTCTTTTTATATAAATCAAATAAAATATGCGCGCGCGTTCGCGCTGAAAGCTGAGCCCAAGAAAAACGAATAACAACAGTCGGAGGGAGAGAGCGTGGTTAGGAGTAGGCGGAGCGTAGTTTAAAGTCCTTTGTGACCTGGTTTTTGGTCATAACAATATTGCCAACCGAAGCGTGGTGCAGTGCACACAATTACCGTGCCAACATTTGCTGGGCGATTGCGAATGGCGTGGGCGTGGCACTGTGCGAATGACGTCATGTTTGCACTCGCACATGCACAACTACCATTACGACCACGATGGCCACGACGACGCCGCCGACGAGGACAACAACAACAATAACAACAACAACAGCAACAACAACAACAACGTGACCTGGCGACTCGTCGCGACGGTCACTTGCTCGAAGGTTTAAGGCCTGCTGCTGGCCATTGCATAGTTCCATGCGCCGCCTATGGCTGACAAATAGACGCCTCTATTTGCAGAATATGTAGCTGTATGCATGGCCGTAACAAGGTTAATCAGCTGGCTGTCTGCTCATTTTAATTGGCTCTGCGCTGGCGCCTTAATTGAGCTGTAAAAATGCGAAACTATTTTGCGAACAACGAAGTTTAATGCCCGAGCGCTTGACGAGCTTTAAACTTAAGAGCTGCCACCTCGTAAATTGTAAAATGGAATAGAAGATGAGGCGCGCCACACCGAGGGGATGGCACAAGCTACAGACACCGCTGCTGAATACTGAGTGGAGTATTCAAAGCCAGTTGGAAAGACGCCGAGACAAGTTTCAAATGCATTTGAAAAAGCTGTTGATTTGATTGCTCTAGAAAAGTTGTAGTATATATATGAACTATGTTATGTTTTAACTACAGCACAAACATCATTACGCCGACTTTAATACATCTCAAGGGATTAGATTGTCACTCAAACAGTCTAGTTAGGCCAGCCAGCCAGACCAGGTATTGTGGCAGATAACAGACCTACTTGACCGGATCTTGACCTAGAATAGATCAGATATCCAATTAGAACTGCCCTGTATCTACACAATATATCTCATTGCCGCCGTTTAGCATTATCCATATCCATAATCATCACAAGTTATATTCAAAAATTTTAGTTTGAATTAAATTTCCTTAAAAATAAAAGTATATATTTTTTATTAATTGACTAAACAACTTAAGATCTTGACTCATTTGCCAGTTGATGTTCTTAGTAAAATGTAAATAAATAACAAATAACTAACTAATTTTACTAACATCTCATTTATTCTCTAAAATTTCTATTTCGGGTTTAAAGACTAGATTTTTACTTAAGCCATCCGTATTTTACAATTTGTGGCTGCTGCAGCAGAACTAAAAGAAGTCTCAGACTTATAAGACCTACTGCACCTTACTTGACTTGAAATATACGATAAATCCCATTAAACTTCATCATAGATAGTTATACTATCTACCATAACTCTTTTATACCCACCATTTATATATAAAATGTCCGCTTGAACTTTATCTTCATTAACTGTACGCAATAACTCTTTTATACACTAAGCTGCGTTTTTTACTTAAAATTTGTCTTGACTTTTAGAATATACAAAATAATCGCTTCAACTTTATCTTCAATAACGATACTTAATAAATCCCGTTTCCCCTAACTTATTTACGGTGCTCGTTTCTTATAGCTTACAAAAATTGTATTTCATTAACTTCAGTTTCGTTTAAATTCTCTGAAAAATAACAAGCACTAATCTGGAAATATTTCATCCCATAAAAATAAAAGCATTATTCAGTAAAGTCGCCCTGAAATGGTAAAGCAGACAAAATAGTGTATAAAACTTTGTTCTTTCTTTTGGCAGAAATTCTGAAATTGATTTCTTTACACTTGAAGTGTTTGCTACATTTAAGTTAAGTCTGACTCGGCCGTTCTTCTTCTTCGCTGGGGTAGTTTAATAAAATAACAAATCCTTTCAATATTTCCATTTAGCTTTTCGCACCGCTTGCTGCGAGTATATCGCGTTTTTATTTAACTCTTTTATAAAGTGCAGAGCAACAGAAATTAGAGAAGCAGATGCCAGCAGCAGAAAAAATAAATAAATAGGCGAACGTGTTGGTAGTGAGCCGGAGCCGTAGCCGGAGCAGGTCGTGGGTCGTGGGTCGTGAGTCGTGGGCATGGTCGGTGGGGGCAGGTTGCTTGGTTGGTTGGTTGGGATAGTTCAGAGTTCAGGCTGTTTGGGTCGCATCACGATAACGCTTTGTAAATACTTTTGCTGCACTTTGGCTGTTGTTGGTTTTTAGTTTTTTGTATTTTTTGTCGTTTCCTTTAGCTTGGCATGGCAAATTTTTATCTCCATTTGCGCGCTGCGCTTTTTTCGGAGCTTAACTGGGGAAAAATCACGACCTGGAAAAACAGGACGAGAGCAGGACGGACGCTGTACTGCTGTGCTGGCTGCTGCGCTTTTGTTTTTCGGCGTTAGGAAACGACGAAGAGGATATTATTAAGCGTGGATGTCAACGTTATCGCCCCAGAGTTGGACAAAGGCAAGCGCTAAGTGCATAGCGGCAGGACAGCAGCTCGGACGAAGAGAGTGAGGGATAGAGAGAATGAGAAAGAGAGAGAGAGAGAGCAAAGTGTGAACGGCGTGAAGAATTCTGGCGCTGTTTGGAAAGCTCTTTGCCAAATTAAATATTAAAACCATGTGCACTTATGCAACTTTAATGCAATTTTAGCCAAATAAACGAGCCACCATTTTAGCCGACATCAAATAAGAGAATTACGCGAGCATACACCACGTATACTTAATTTTTGTGTATTTCATTCCATTATCTGTGTGTGTGTGTGTGTGTGTGTATTCGGCATCTGAAGTTCGACTACGTTTGTGGTTTTGTGCGCATATAAAAAGGATTAATACACTTAAAAGGCACAGGCACTGGCACTGGCAGTGGCGCAGGCACAGACGGGCGAACGGAGAGTTCTCAATTACATGGCCACGCTAAGCGAACATTTACGTGAAAGCCAAATGAAGCCGCAACAGCAGCAACGGCAAAACAAGCAAAACTACAACAATAACAAGCAGAGCAGCAGCAGCAGCAGAGGCAGCAGCAGAGCAGCAGTGGCAGCAGGCTGGCTGGCCAATAAAGCGAAACCGCCTTAATTTAGGGGCAGGCCAAGTTTATGTCGCGCAATGGGCATGAAAAATTCAACAGCAGCAACGCTGACAACGTTGACAAGCCCCGCACAGGAAGGCGGTTGGGGCGCCAAGCAACGTAGCAGCAGGAGTTGGCGCTGCTCAGTACAAATGCCAAAATGTCACAGGCGGTGCTCATGTTGTTGTTGTTGTTATTGCTGTTGCTGTTGCTGTTGTTGCTGTTGTTGTTGTTGTTGTTGCTGTTGCAACTTGAATCACATCCTTCCCTTACAACCAAACATGTGATTTTCGGTCAGATGGCACACAGTCGCACATCTGTGCATGTATTTGTTAGGCATACATACATATGTATATGCATATACATATACATACATATACATATATATATTTTTGTGTGCATATGCATTGGTTAGCCTCCTGCACTTTGGCGCTGTCTTGGCATTTTACGTGTGCCCCTTTATGTTTGCCACAGTTGCACTCTTGTTGCAGCTCTTTGTTTTTGTTGTCGCGTTGTTCCGCTGAAACAATGTCGCGCTTCCCGCTTTGGCCTCAACCGTCGTTGGCTTCGTCCTTTTAGCTTTCTTTTCTTTTTTTGTACCACACTACACAAAACTACATTTTACTGCATGACAATTTATTGAGTTCCTTTTTTGGGTGTCTACTCGCCCCTCTCTCCGCTGCTGCTGCCCGTCCAACCTCTCATTTGCCGCTCCGTGTGGTTTTGGTTCTGGTTTATGGGACGGTGCATTGGATGGAGGAGAAGTTCTTCCTGCTTTTGTTCGTAGGTTCGTTTTGCTGGTTGTAAATTTTTATTGTTCGTCTTGCGCTATGGTAAAAATGCTGCAGGACTTCTTGTTTTCACCAGCAGATAGTACGTATTTTATTTGCCATGCAAACGGGTCTGGCAGCAGTTGCTTCATTAGTGCTGGAGATGCCCCAACTAACCTGTCGAGCGGTTGGCTTGAGAAAACTCATACAATGTTGATTCCAACCGCCAACAATTCGTTTTAAATCCAATGAAGCAGCTCAGTTTTCTCTGTTTATGGCAATAACCTGTTTGTGTAAGTTCGTTTCATTAAAAAGTTTACAAGACACAAACAACATAACGCAATTGAGTTGAAAAATACATAAATAATGGAGATTTAACGGCATATAAATTTGTAATCTTAAGCCGAAAGTTGATAGTGAGATTTCTTTTCAGCATTTATTCGCTATAACAGTACATTTATTTGATATATTTGTTTATTCTAAAATCCTTTGGTTACCTGATCAGATCGCGTATGCTCATAAACGACTTTGTATAGACTACAGCAATTATATTTTTAAGACTGAATTTTTTATTAAGCTTTAAGGAACTCGTGAATAAATACACCTCAACCACCTCATCTAATGAATCCACGCCAATCTAATTTGGTATCTTAACAACACGGAGTGAGAGGCAGTGCAAAAGAGTTGAAGCTTGCAATTCAAATAGCTAAAGTGCAGGAATTTTAGTCTGGTTACAATTAATATTTAGTTAAAAAACATTCCCATATGCAATGAAGGCATGATAATATTGATTGCTTCATGGCTTGATTAATATAATATAATATCATA